ACTGGCCATTAAGGCTAGAAATGGTCCACAGTGGTCACCGCTGGCTCATTGCTGATTTGGAGGTGCAGCGGGTGGCCCATTACTTCGACCCCTCGCCCTGCTTGTGCACAGTGCACGCCTCCTCCTGCTCCATCTATATAATATCAAATGCAGCATATATGTTTAGAACTACTGCATCACCATCGAACTGCTATTTGGAAACTAGTGAAAATGTGATTTTTGATTTATAGACGAACCCGCTAATAAAGGTCAATGAACTGAACTGGAGAGACAGAGGGAGGGAGGGGACGTACGGGGAGAGGGAGGGAGGCAGAGAGACCCTGGCGGACAGAAGCAGAGAGGGAGGTTGGACCGGGAACAATAGAGAGAAACGAAGCCTACCCTGAACACCAAACAAACCGAGAGGGCGACAAAAAGAAAGCAAACCACAGCGGGTGATGGAGGGAGGGCGAGCTAAGCGAAGGACATGTGAGGAATAAAGACGCGAGGATCTTTCCCGAGCCGTGGGCTTTATTCCCGTCTTTCTTTGTCACTGGATAGTAAAACGGATTCCGGTATGAACCCAGCAGAAGCGGCCGAGGAGGCGCCCAGCGACCCCGACACTGATGCCTTCTACAAAACAGGTAGGAAGAGCGATCGGAGCTGATCTCTCCAAATCTAAGACAAAAGCATCACACCCGAGATCAATTCGAGCCAGAGCCGCCCGAGCAAGCGCACGAAAGCGAGAGAGCGAGAAATGTGCAGAAAATCAGCTGGAAGCGGCACTAGCAGCTGCAAACATTCTGCTTCAAATAAGGAGAAATGTTGCTGTTTGAGGCTTTTACGCGGATCTACGGTGTCATGTTGGTTTCCGTGTGTGTGAGTGTGTTAGCTGATGCTGTTGGTCCACAAAAGAAGGAAGAATCATGGTGGGATCACATCAGATCAGCAGCTGAAAGGCTCAGGGAAAAATGTCCAGCATGCTACAAATGGCAGTTTGTGTGTTTGTGCTGATGCATGGACAGAAGGACCAAGAGTCCAAATAACTGGTCTGCAAGAGGAGCACATCCTGTCATCATGGAGACAGCTCATTACAGTATACTTGCAAAGTGTTTTTAAGATTAAAAAAGGAGACAGCAGATCATTTCTGGGATCTTTTATGACGTAAAGGCTGAAGCAGATATTAGCAGAACGCCATGGCCACCTCTGATGATCAGTGGATCCAGATGTGATGCTACTGATCTCTGCTCAGCTTTGACGAGATCTCCAACACCACCGGCTGAACTGCAGCTCCAAACCCTCCATCGTGTTTTACAGTTAGTTGTTAGACACAACGCCGAACACGCTGCATTTAAACCTTCATGAGTCTTTTCTTCCTCTTTCTTTTCCTTAAGAAGGACTTGTTGACGGAGGCGTTTCTATTGAGACCAGGCTGCATTGGTTACCTGGTAAAGTTCAGGTGCTGGTTGCTGGGTTTGGACTCAGCTTTCATCACTCTGAATTTCTCGGCTAGCTTTGCATGAACTCGGTTTTATTTATATACCAAACAAATCGCAACAAGGCGCTTAGCACGCTGTTTGTGGAGAATCTCACAAAGAGCTGAATTTCTGTTAGCAGTAT